AAATAAACATTAAATACAATTGAAAAAAAAAACACTGATTTTGCTCCTTCTCTGTTTGTGGGTTTTGGTACCTCCAACCACTGCAGCATTTTGTGTGTCCTGCTCCCTGAGGAAGTCCCCCCAGTGTGCCTCCCTCACCCTCTTTGTTCCTCACAACGTGTGCAACAAATGTTCCAAGGATGGTCCAGCCTGGCCGGCAGATACCACCATCGAACTTTTCTACCAGTTTCCTGACGCCATTTAGAATTCCAGGATGTTTCATTATATCAGTCAACTAATATCACTCTTTGGATGGTAACAAAGATCATAAACACACAGGCTTCACATAAAAAATGATAGCAACACAGCGCCAAAAGAACGCAAGACTTAGAATCAGAGAACTTGAGTTTACACGGGTCGTGTGATTTGTAAATCAGTGAATTGACCTCATTAATTTTACAACCAACCATGAGCTCAAGATGGAGGCCCAATGACCCCAAGTGCCCACTGCCATTTTAGGCAGTCTGGGCACGGGGACCTTCTTCACCTACAAAGCAGAGAAAGCACGGTGAAGACTAAGTTGGATAAGCCACGTCACCACCACCACTGTGCTCTACCTCCCTCCAATCCGTTATGAGTTAAGAGCAAAGGCTATTAGTATCTTCAGCACATGAGTCTGGTGTGTTGTGTTCAACCACTGGGCACCATCGCTGCGTAAGATAGCAATCCGCTTACTGGAATTCTTTTGTACCGACTGTCTCCAGTTCTGTTTGCATTTATTTACTTTTTCTCATGTTTGTGTTCAGAAGAGCGGCCAGCTTTCCACCACACGCGGCACAGCCATTGGTTCAATTTGCTCATTCCAGAAACAAAATGGTGGCCAGGCTCGGTTCTCCAGTGGGCGGAGCCTCGGAGTCGGTATGCTGTGACGTCCATGGTTTCGAACCCACCAGTTCTTGCTCTGATCTGGGTAGTGATGAGGAAGCAGCACCTCACAGAGGTGTTTTACTTCAAAGAGTGTGCCAAAAATAACTGTTCCTCAACGCACACATCCCACACTCATTTGTGTGTGCGTGTGAGAATTTTGCTAACAGCCAAGTTAGAGGGCATCTCATGAAATCACTTCTCTTCAATTCTTTCTCTTTTGTGGCTGGGACTCATATGCTCTTTTCCACAGGTTCTGAAAAGTCGGCCGTGTTGTTTCCAGGAACACCAAGTGAAGACTTCAAAGAATTCATTTTCCTGACCAACTAAACACAATCCACTTCTCTGCCTATTTACCACTACGAAAGGTACGGCCCGCGGATGGGCAATCGGCAGATTTGTCTGAAATGGGAATTCTCGGGGAAGTGTCCCTGGAGTATCACAGGGAAATCTATCACAGGGATGTTCTTTGCTCTTCCTAAATAAAGAACATACTTCGCATTTTGATCATGGTAAAACGTCCCTCCTTTTGATCTCCCGTCTGTCTGTGGAGCTTGGAACGTGAGCCTTCCTGACCCAAAATGCTGGCAGCGTGGGAAGGAAAATGCCTTCACCACAGCAGCGTGACGTTGTCGGGCACAGACCCCGAGGACTTGTCTGAACCCTCACGGGGAGAGCCATCCATGTCGCTGTCATTGTAAAGCACACTTTCTATCTGATTTCCCTTTTGCTTCAACTTCCTGAAGTTGGACATTTACACTGAGCTTGGAAATCCTGGATGGAAGGGACAGACCCATTTGTCTGCAGGTAACATGATAACATTTCCATTTACAAAAGTAAAAATTAAACTCCATGAAAAGCCTGACGGACACAGGCGTGTGCAAGACTGGCTTTGCCTGGAATGAACCTATTCAAGACCGTCCCGGTGGAAATAGTGGCATATTTTTCTGCTTTGATGCCTGGTGTGAATTTTGCTCCTTTTAAAGAACTTGCAAAAATGTAGCTGGCAATGGTTTAGCCCCCCTATGTCAATTTCATCCTTTATTTTTTAAAGTTTTATTCATTTTTGCGCGTGGGGGAGGGGCAGAGAGACAGGAGGACAGAGGATCCGAAGCAGGCTGCACGCTGATAGCAGAGAGCCCAATGCGGGGCTCGAACTCACAACCGGGAGATCATGACCTGAGCCAAAGCTGGACGCTTAACCAACTGAGCCACCCAGGCGCCCCCCGATTTCATTCTAATTAAAAAAACCCCACAGATTATCTAAATGATGAAAAGGAAAAAATAAAGGGGGGGTGGGTACGTTTTCAGGTGGGCTTCTCCCGAAGTTGCTGTAAGAGGAGCATCTTAAGGGAAGAAGCCGTCTTATTCATGGCTGTACCTACGTCGGGCATTCCAAGAACTTAGCAGGCTGATGGGAAGCACACCCCACTGAACAAGACAGTGATAAATGCCTGATCCTACTCTGAGATCCAAATATCCCGGGCAATGCCTCAGCAGTTATGTCCGAGAAACTCACGCACGCCTTCTGAGTTGACAGTTGACAGGGGTTGGGGCTGCACGAAAACTAACACAGCTGCCTGCATGTAAACGCGTTGCATTTGGAGGAGCCGGCCCCTGTGCAAGGTAGGTTCTATTCCCACTAGGCTCTCTGCCCTCCAGAACTAGAATATTCAAGTTCACAAACCTGGAAAACGTGTTTAATAGCCACGTTTTTACAGACCACGAGTCCCTCAGGACTACACAGCTTTCTTGCTACCTTCCATCACATCCCGAGGGCGAACGTAGCTTTGGACAAAGGTGAGCTCACCAGAGGCAGTGACCAGGGCCGGCAGGGCCCTCTGGGTGCCGAGTCTGGGGAAGGACCTGGGCACCTAGCCAATGTCTGGGGAAGGGCAGGGGGACCCTCAAAGGAAGTGAAGCAAATGTAATATCGTGTTGATTTCATCCCACTTGGAGGGACCACTTGGATTTCATCCCACTTGGAGGGACCCAGGAAACGTTAGCCAGGAGGACGAGGTGTTAAGAGGGCTTAGCGTGGCTGCCTTCAGTGACCAGAAGGGCCCCCACAACTCCCTGACCAGTGTGACTCTAGATACCAGCAGATTTGATTTCACGACTTTGCTAATCATCAGCATCTCCCTAAGGCTGTCCTGGGAGACATGCAAATAGGCTGGCCCTTTCCCCATCGACGATGCTGAAGGACTTATGTGCTGGGCTCCTGTTAGCTCAGTGGCCTTCCTTCTGGAATGCTTTATGGGAGGGGGTCCCACTGCACAGCAGAAGCCTGGCAGTGATCAAACGCACGGTGTGCGGCTGGCTCAGTGGGTGGGGGTTGGGGGGGCGGAGGGAGGCATCAGAAGCTTTCCTAAATTTCCCTTGTTTCCTTCCCGTGCAGACAGAGGCTCTGAATCACCTTTCCACTCGGGGTACAGTGACCTAGCAGTCAGTGCACCTGACAAGAGCAGCCAGGAACTTTAATGCATCAACCTGAATATTTTAGCAGATGTTCAAAACCGGGCAGAACTGTCTATGAGACAAGAAGATCGTTTATTCTAGATTTTATTTCTATAATTTTTAAAATTCCATTTATTTATTTATTTATTTATTTATTTATTTTGAGAGACAGAGAGAGACAGAGTGGGAGTGGAGGAGGGGCAGAGAGAAGAGGGAGACACAGAATCCGAAGCAGGCTCCAGCCTCCGAGCTGTCCACACGGAGCCCGACGCGGGGCTCGAACCCACGAACCGTGAGATCATGACCTGAGCCGAAGCTGGATGCTCAACCGACTGAGCCACCCAGGCGCCCCTCTATAATTTTTTACTATTTTACTGTTTTCTTCTCTCTACTCAATCGTGTCCTTCCTGTTTGCCATGGAAGGTAAGCTCTCAGAGCCCGTGGGTTTTTTCTGTCTTGGTGGCCCCCGTGCCTGACAGGCTGCCTGGGACAAAGTGGGTACTTAGGAAGCATTTATCTTATGAACTGATCCTTGGAGCCACTCAGTCCCACCTCCAGCTTGTTCCCCTGCATGCTGGGATGCCGATGCCACTCGACACCTGGGCTAATCACTTAGCTTCAAACCTACCATCCTATGTGGTGCCCGGGCTTCCTGGGGGTGTAGACAGTTTATTGCACGCCTTGCGGGAGCCAGTTCTCGTGTGGCCTGATGCCTATGACATCTAGCCTCTCAGCCTGTAACATGTTCAGTGATTGCACGTTAAAGACAATATGGCATTGAACAACATTATCAGTAAGTACTCAGATTTATTTTTAGCTTTTAAGGCTGGATAGGATAGAATTCTTAGTACACACCTATGAACATCTTGGTAAGATGATAACTCGGTATAGGACCCAGTAATTACTTCTGAGATCCCGAGATGCCGTTAATTCGGATTATTTGTCCCCTGAAGGGTGGACAGAGGGGGTTATCTTCGAAGACTCTAGACTGCAAGGCAAACCCTAATCTCACAGCAAAACTGAAAAGGCTCATTTCCCTCATCTTTTCCCATTTACGTTTGACTTCAATTTTTATTTTGTTTTATTTTTGAGAGACGCAGAGCACGAGCAGGGGAGGGTCAGAGAGAGGGAGACACAGAATTTGAAACAGGCTCCAGGCTCCGAACTGTCAGCACAGAGCCCGACGCAGGGCTTGAACCCATGAACCGCGAGATCATGACCTGAGCTAAAGTTGGACACTTAACCAACTGAGCCACCCAAGCGCCCCTGACTTAAATTTTGAGATGACACGTCTTATTTTTCCCTCAGCTGTGAAGCAGGGCTCCCTTCCTTCTGCTAACTGTTTTTACTTGATGGTTACAACATTGGCTCTTTCAGCTCCCCCCCGAGATGACTTTCTATTTCTGCGGCCAGGCTCACGAAAAGACAGCCTGAAGAGGGTTTTCGCCATACACCGAACTTGGCGTTTCTGTAAGGTGGGATGTTGGTTATGTTTCTCCTTCCCCCCCAACACTGTGTTCTGTGACGGGGAAGAAACCGTAGGGGAAATGCTTACTTGCCTGTGAGGGTCTTGCAGTCTAGCTGAACCCCATGGGCAGGTGCACAGTAGCCCCTCGGCCCCCCCCCCCCCACCCCCGGCCAGCTTAGACCAGATGCTAAGCCTTGCACCACAGGTGTCTTTACGCTTTCTGTGCCTCTTGTGTCGAAAAGTGAAAGAATTCTAGGCGTGCTTAGAGGAAGTTAGGTAAACATTCTGGGAGTTCTAAAATACGCTTCCTAGAGGGCAAAGAATGTGACTGCACGGGTTGGCTGTGTGTAAAGAGAAGGAGCTTCTAACCATGACCCAATGACATCATCAAGATCCACCGGAGGGGACAGAGACATGAACATGGAGGTTGGCAAAGGGCGTGGTCTGTCCGTCCGTCCATCCGTCCGTCCATCCGTCCATCCATCTATCCATCCATCCGTGAGGAAATGCCTATGGTAAACACGTGGCAAATTTTCATCCCTTCCAACCCAGGTAGGTAGGTTAGCAGACTTTAAATTTTTTTTTTAATGTTTATTTATTTTTGAGAGAGAGAGAGTGCAAGCAGGGGAGGGGCAGAGAGAGAGAGAGAGACACAGAATCCGAAGCAGGCTCCAGGCCCCGAGCTGTCAGCACAGAGCCCGACGCCCCTAAATAAACATCTTTTTAAATGTTTATTTATTTTTCAGAAGAGAGAGAGAGAGTGTGTGCGCACGAGTGTGTGATCAGGGAACCGGCAGAGAGAGAGAGGGAAACACAGAATCCGAAGCAGGCTCCAGGCTCCGAGCCGTCAGCACAGAGCCTGACGCGGGGCTCGAACCCATAAACTGTGAGATTATGACCTGAGCCGAAGTCGGAAGCTTAAGTGACTGAGCCACCCAGGCGCCCCCAGGTTAACACACTTTTAAAACAGCACTTTCCACACTCTGCATTTAGGAAAACCGCAGGACACATTCAGTGTGTTTTGCACATGAAGGTAGTGGGTGGTTAGTCTGCCCCGCATCATGGCTGCAGTGAGGCTGAAAGACCAGATTTAACCCAGACCTTCTGCTTCAAAACCTTCTACGATAAGCTAGACTCATCGTCCAGAGGAGTTCTTTTCGGGTGAGCCTTTATGGCAGCCCTGAAAACAATTCTCACTGCTTTATAATTAAAATTTGGTGGTTTTTTTTTTTAAGATTTTTTTTTTTTTTTTTTTGAGGGAGAGAAAGCACAAGCAGGGGATGGGCGCAGAGAGAGAGAGAGAGAGAGAGAATCGTAAGCGACATTGTCAGGGCAGAGCCTGATGTGGGGCTCGATCTCACGAACCAGGAGGTCATGACCCGAGCCGAAATCAAGGGTCAGACGCCCAACCGACTTGAGCCGCCCAGACGCGCCCTAACTGATGGCAGGTAACCCCTGTCTAATTCACTGAACAAGCAGCAAAAAGCAAGAGTTAGTGACCTGGAGACTCGTGTGGCTCTGACTCTCAGTTACCTACCACACAGGTGCATGGGACCCGAGGGTACCTGGGGTGGCCTTGCCTCTGGCCTCTTGAAATGGTCTATTCCTGGCCAAAAGGTTTCAGCCACTGGTCCCTGGACCCAAGGAACAGAATTCTGATGAAACTGTACCAAGATCAATGTTGAAAGAAAGGAAGGCAGGAAGGTCGGAAAGAGGGAAAGAGGGAAGGAAGCAAGGGAGAAAGGGAAGAAGAGGAAGAGAGAAGAAAAGCAAGAAAGGAGGAGGGAAGAAGGAACGGGGGGGGGGGGGATTAAGAAAGAAGGAAAATAAAAAGGAAGGGAAGAAAGGCAGAGAAGAAAGCAAAAAGGATCACCAGACAGGAATAGGACAATCAGAGCCTCAAGGCTGAATCTGTGACTCTGTGGGTCTTGGCGTGCTCAGGAAACACAGCAGCCACAGGAGGACATGCTGTCTCCCGAAATGCAGGAAGGACAGCAATTAGTAAGCACGTGGTGTCCTCGTACAGGAAGGCTGGGGTCTGGGCTGCACGCAGCGAGGCAGGGTCGGGCGCCCGAGCACCCCCTGGCCGGGCTCTCGGGACATGGGTGCTGAAGGGGGACATCATGCTTCCCTACAGGCAGATTGCTGCTGCCCTTCCTACTAAAAGAAAGAAAAAAGCTTTCCCTTTACCACCTCTGCTCCCATCACTTCATCAGGCTGCAGCAGTATCTTTTAGGAAGTTATTGAGAAGCTTCATTGTCCCCAATTTTTGCAAACAATTTCACAGATGCGATGGTGTCTGTCTTAGAAGCTTTATGCCTGTCCTCAAATGCTGTGCTCGTGGAATGTGCTTCAGGTCTATAAAGCAATTGCCTCATTTCAAAAAGAAAAAAGAAAAAAGAAACCCTCAAAACAAAAAGGACTGTATTTCTGTCTGTACAGAACTCAGTCACTCGGCTTTGGAAAACGAACTGGTTTCTGCACGTTGACAGACTGCCCTGTTCTCGTTATTTTAGAGAACTTCATGAGAGGCCGACCAGTCATCTCCAGTTAGGACAGGGCTGGGGCGCCTGGGTGGCTCAGTCGGTTGAGCGTCCGACTTCGGGTCAGGTGATGAAGTCACAGTTCATCGGTTTGAGCCCCGCGCCGGACTCTGTGCTGACAGCTCAGAGCCTGGAATCTGCTTTGGATTCTGTGTCTCCCTCTCTTTCTGCCCCTCCCCTGCTTGCTTGCTCTCTCTCTCTTTCAAAAATAAATATTAAAAAAAAAAAAAAGACAGAGCTACATAAAATAAACCAGACTGACATAAAAATTGGACTGGACCTAGATTTTCTCTAAATCAAATGGGGCCCAACACGGAAGACACAAAACAAGCAAATTTTCACCTTAATCGGGGAGGACAATTGAGAAAACATTTTGAAGAGAAAACTGACTTAAACGCTACTTTGGAGCAATGATAAATGACCAGCTTTGGCTAAATTTCAGCAAGGATCAATCTGAAAAGGTTTTCTGTGACAGGTAGCACAGCCCTTTCCAGAACTCTGGACATCCAGCAGGTGGCCCCTGGCCAAGGTGGCTTCTGAGTGCTCAAAATGTGGCCACTGTGAATTGAGATGTGTCATATGTGTAACACATACTGCGGTTCAAAGACTACGACCAAAGAACAGTCTAGTACTCACTAAGGATGGCTTATGTTGAGTGCGTGTTCGAATAAGAATACTTGGGGTGTGCCCCGTCCAGTCAGGTAAATTAAAATTGATCTCGCCTGCGCCATTTTCTTTTTGAATGAGTCTACTGGGAAATTGAGAATTATGGCTGTGTGTCTCATGCTGTTTTCATCGGGCAGTGCTGCCCTAGGACATCTGATTCCTACAGTTCACGAATACATTCCAGGGATGCGGGTTCTTACTCATCTGTGATACCCCTGTTCCCAGACAAGGACTGAGAGCTGGCACGTGTCAGAAGGCACAGAGCCCGGCTGTCTGCCCAGGATCCAACTGGAAAGAGCCACACGGGACATCTAGAGAGTGTGCCTGTGTGCACGTGCTGTGTGTGCATCCAGGGAAGCCTGATCTTAAGGATGAGTTTTTAGGAGACACCCCGTCAGTAATAAAAAAAAAAAAATACAGCCAGTGAGGGGTCCTGGCTGGCTCAGTCAGAAGAGCACGCAGCTCTTGATCTCAGGGTCGTGAGTTCGAGCCTCACGCTAGGCATGGAGCCTACTTAAAAAAAAAAAAACAAAACTGTAGAAACACCTACTGAAACAGGAAGACAAACACAGAACTTTTAATGCTGGCAGCTCCAAAGTTCAGCATGGGGACTGTTTTATTAGCGACAATGGCACTGCTTTGCAGTTGTGAGTCTAGGTAGTGTTTACAGTGACAAAATAACTCAGTTATCTTCTCGGGGTTAAAACCACTTCACTCAAAACCACAGCCTTCTCTACCGAGCGTGAATTTCACCGAAGACAGATTCCCCTGTGACTCCAGGACGAAATAAGGGGTGGCCACACCAGAGGGTCGTTAATGGTCATTATGGAACATGATGGCGCGAACCCGGGCCATCTGAGCGCTCTAGGGGCCCTGGCGGGGTTCTAGATCGCCCGCTGCACAGCGTGGCGATTGTGAAAGCAGGATGATTCTGCCGGGCTCCAAGAAGAAGAGACAAAAAAGAATCGTCGAGCCGCCTGCCGGGCCGTCATAAAAAAGTTCTTTTCCCATTTCTGCAGGATTTCGTTCTGAAAAAGAGAATGGCCACCTTTGCCACGCGCTCTGCAGCAGGGAGCTGGCTGGAGGCCTTCCATCGATCGCACCCGCCCGGTGGGGAAAGGCACCGGATGTTCAGGGCTTCACCGGAATCCTGCCCGGGTGATTTCAGTGGAAATCGACAGCCTGCAGCCACATCCCCTGTGGGGGAAATACTCTCCTGGCAGGCAGCCTTGCAGAGACACACCCAAGGCCCGCTGCTCAAAGGTCCCTGCAGCTCGCTACCCCCCCAAGTAGGGCACAGAGGGCTCTTTGGCTAATGGGACTGCAGCACCCGGCAGGTGCTTTGAGGCAGGAACTTGCAAAGAGCGTCCGCGGGGCTTGGGACAGTCGGGTTTGCCTCCGGTAATGTCCCCAGCTGCTTGCATATGGCCGAGCCCTTGCTGAGAAAGTGTCCCTACTGAAGCCACTGCATGCCCAAGGACAATGGAAGGGGCCAACCCCCAGATGTCTGTACAGACACCTCAGGGTTGTATGTAATCCAAGAGAGTCAGTAACCGAAACTTTCTTTTCAGAAGCCCGATCCCGCGTGTTGAAGGATTTGGTGAGGCTAGATGCTTTCCTGGAAAAAAGTCACCGTGATGCAGTCACCTATTCCTGTAACGTGGACAAGCCTTGCTTTGCGTTTGAAAGCCCTTCAGGCCAAAATAACAGCAAGAGGAATAAAAATATCTCATCGGTTAGGCACAGAAATGCTTTTTTTAAAAAATATTTATTCATTTTTTTGACAGAGACAGAGAGAGCGAGCAGGGGAGGGGCAGAGAGAGAGGGGGACACACAGAATCCGAAACAGGCTCCAGGCTCCAAGCTGTCCACACAGAGCCCGATGCGGGGCTTGAACCCATGAACCACGAGATCATGACCTGAGCTGAAGTCAGATGCTTAACCAACTGAATGCCCCACGGAAATGCTTTTCTAATCACACTCCCAGCAACAAAACCAGCATGCGAGGGGGGCATTCTGTGTATTCATACAAGACAGGCCAGTGCTGTGTGACGTTTCCAGGCTACGACCTCAACGGCAGAGTCACCCGGAACCAACCCTTTGGTTGGACGCACTCGTGTTTTCCCCTCGCCCCTCTTCCATAACCCGCTCCACAAACACCGGCTCCTGTCCCCACAGCGCTCCAGCAAAGCATCTCCTGCTTTCGAATGTCACTGCAGCTGGATGACATTAAAATAGAACTTAAGCCAGTGGCGCGCAGGTAAACCAGCTCTCAGAAAAGGAAAAAAAAAAAAAAAAAAGCCCTAATTCGTAGCACTTGCCGATTTCTGTGGTGGAAATCCTTCCAACCGCAGCGGGCTTCAAGCTACCAACAGTTGAACCCGAGCCTGGAAGCTTCTCTGAGCCTCTAACAGTTGGTATATTCCCGCTGGCCCCGGCACACCACGACCTTGAACATACTTTCTAAGTTCCCTACGAGTCTGTCAACCGCTCCCTGCCCCGCCACCCCCAAATCCTAACAAGCTGAGGGTTTGAGCAGATCTGTGGTAATGCGTGCCCTGTAGTTTCTGCTTAGACTTGGAAGAACGCAGGGCTTATCTGGCAGGTACAGTAGCCTGGCCCCAACCACTGTTGAGCTGTGGAACCAGTAAGACGGCTTCCTGGGGCCGCCAGCCTCACTGAGCCTTTTCATCTAATTGAAATGGTTCTGTGGAAACTTTGCAAGGCAATGGTTAGGGCTCTGCTCTGCTTAAACCTTTCTACTTTTTGCATAAAAGGAGGGGAAGCTTGTTTTTTTTTTTTTTTTTTTGAGTTATATTTACACTTCCCAAATCAGAAAATGTCCTAACCAGATAGGAGGACAGGTGGCGAGTGGTAACCACAACTCAAAACCTTTTTTTTTTTTTTCCATTTCTTTCTGAAACCCCATATAGGAGGAAAGTTAACGAAATGTCGGTTGGTTGTTTTATGCCCAGAGCTCGGTATTCTTTCAACACAGATGGAACAGAGCAGAAAATGAAATTGGGACCGGACCACCTAGGGCATAAAATGCTGTTGATCTATCTACCCTGGTGCACACGAATCTATTGCCTTGGGTAAATCGATTGAGTACGATGTGATCCTGAATTTGTCAGAATAAAATGGAGATAAACACTGATTTCTATTTGTGAAAGGAAACTTTTTTCTTGTTTGTTAAAAATTTTTCTTTAATGTTTATGAGAGAGAGGGAGACACAGAATCTGAAGCAGGCTCCAGGCTCTGAGCTGTCAGCACAGAGCCGGACACGGCTCGAACTCACGGACCACGAGATCATGACCTGAGCCCAGATGAGACGCTTAACCAACTGAGCCACCCAGGCACCCCCGCAACTTTTCAAAGTGAACATGCACTTTTGGAGACACGAAGCATGGTTGGAAACGCCAGGGGCAGAGTTCTTCAACCATCTGTAGCCCAGTTTTTCTACAGGAATTCTTTTTGTTTTTTGTTTGTTTGTTTGTTTTTTAATTTTTTTTTCAACATTTATTTATTTTTGGGACAGAGAGAGACAGAGCATGAACGGGGGAGGGGCAGAGAGAGAGGGAGACACAGAATCGGAAACAGGCTCCAGGCTCTGAGCCATCAGCCCAGAGCCCGACGCGGGGCTCGAACTCCCGGACCGCGAGATCGTGACCTGGCTGAAGTCGGACGCTCAACCGACTGCGCCACCCAGGCGCCCCTACAGGAATTCTTTTTGTAAAAGAAATCCATAGTCAGGTTCCAGAACCTACTGACTACATTAATCAGCCCAAAGTTGTCCCAGTGAATGTGCTCAATTGTGTGGGGTTGACGTGTTCAGGCTCGAGGGCAGGGCTTGAATCCAGGGGCTCGCCTGGGAAATGTGTGGAGACATTTATCGTCAGGTGTGACACCAGTGGCTCACATCCCCCAGTGGGAGGGACAGTCTCAGCCAAGGAAGGCGTCTCTGCCCCGAATACCAACTGTTGCCACTGAGAAACAGCGACCTAAAATAATCCACAGGGTGGACCCTGAATTCAGACAAAGCCTTTAACTCCTTCCCCTTCACTTCCTCTCTCTGGGGTCCTACCTGAGAGAGCAACTGCCCCGTTCCCTGCACTCATTTGGTACATGCCCCGCAGGCCTACTCGGTGCATGGGAGGTCCAGGTGTTGGGGGTGCAGACTGAGCAAATCCCAGAGGAGTGCTTTCTTTCTGAGTGGTGGCAGGCAGTGCTGGGAACAACAGCAGGGTAGGGAGGTACGGACTGGCGATGCCATCCAGGGTGGGCTCAAGGAAGGCCCTCTTTTCTGGCACTTCTGGATGGAGACTGAGGGCAGTGAGGGAGAAGGCCACGGGGAGCATGCTGCAGGCCTGGATGTGGCCAAGGCAGAGCCCAGGATGGCTCAGCCCACCTCCCCTGGGCCTCCCCTTGGGCTATTCTAGTTTAATCCTTCCTCTCCACCTGCTCCTTCCTATTGGCCTTCAAATATACATTCATATTCTCCTCCTACAGATCAACCCGCAGGCAGGGCAGACTTCCTACCCTCTGCTCACCAGTGTTCCCCGACGCTTGGGCTCAGGCCTTCGTCCTGCTGAGCTATTTTTAGGGATCCACCACTGATCTCCCAAAGGCCCCGTTCTCCAGCACCGCTCACCCTTCTCACCCTCGATATCACTTCTTCTCGTAGTGGCTTCTACACCATATTTCTCTCTAGAAATTTCACCTGAATCCAACAGCTCATTCTCTGCCTCCTTCCTTGCCTTCTCTCCTAGACAATAATATGCCTCCTTTACACCCATCCTGCCTTCCAGAAGGTTCCTTGGCTACCAACTGCCATCACATGTCTAGTTGACCCAATGCCCCATGTATTCCCATTCTGCTCAGTGGAATGACCGCCTTCCAGTCATCAAGGTGGAGGCTGCAGTCACCTCTTGCATGTTCCACATTGAGTGATGCACAAATATGGCGGCCACCGCCCTGCCTCCTTCTGCTGCAGCCTTCACGCTCCGGCACAAATTGCGTCTCCCTGTCAACTGTCCCCAGGGCTCTCTCCAGCACACAGATCCGGCACGATCATCCCCCAGACTGTCACTCTGGGAGGGATCCCATCCGAGCATCACGCCTCACTCCCAGGAGGAAGCCTCTTCACCCGCGCTCTTGACTTCTACCCAGCCACCACTGTTCCTCAAGTCCAACGTGGCTCAGCTCTCTGACCTGCTCCAGCTTCTACTTGGGGAGTCCTCCCCAACCCTCTTCTTCCCTCCGCCCAGCTCAGTGAGGAGAAAGTCTTCCTTCCCTACATTTTTGTGTATCACTGTGGTGCATTTGGCCACTACCTCCAGTGCATTTGGCATCATGGCATCAGCTCGGCACAACGAAGGGCTCTGTTGGCATGAATGTTATTGAATGGGAGGTCCTAAGATCCGAGAAGCCGAGGCCTGAGCAAACAACTAAGCCAGCA